CACAGGTAAGCTTATAACAATGTTTACCTTTAAGTAAAATAAATATCTCCTAAATGTGCACCGTTTAGGAGATAGATTCCAGTAAGCAGCAGCTGGTGTTGTCACTGGCTCATGCACTCTGAAGGGACAGCATACTCATGCCATCCCTTCAGAGCTGTACGCATGCATGGGATTGATGTCACGGCTTGGCTAATCAAACGAACAGAGCCTGCAAATCTGGAAGGAAGACCGGGTGAAGATCTATCAGCGGTGACAGTGCACCTCTGGAGGACTTCATTTCAAGGTAAGTCTCTCATAATATATTTTTATATGATGCATACTAGCACATTATGATTTTACCTTGCAGGGAGAACTTTTTTTTATTGGAGGAAGTTTACTACAGCTTTAAACCCTCCCTGTGAATATATTCCATATTCTGTGCAACCACATAATCCATATTCCATGCAGAAATTTTGTATGTCCCTGGCCCAGAAATCCATTCTGAAATGTAACCAACCACCTTATTCCCCTGACTTAGCACCCTACAACTTTTGGCTGTTTCCAAAATTAAAAATGTCTTTAAAAGGACACAGATTTGATGATATTCTGGACATCCAGTGCGCCACAACAAAGATACTGCGCAGAATTCCAGAAACTGAATTCCAGTAATCTTTCTGGCAGTGGCAAAGTCATCTAGAAAAGTGCATCGCTTCACAAGGGGACAACAGACACTCATGTATAGATAAGAAAACATTTTTTTCCCCATCACCTTAAAAAGAAGGGCACCCCTGGTATTCATGTATTCCACTGGGCCTTGGGCAAAAGTAATCCGTTCCAACTGACAAAGGGCATTTGGCATACCAGAAAACATCCCAGGATGAGTTGGAGAATGCCTTTTGTAAAGCTGGCCATACATGGATTGAAGTTCGGCCAGTTCAACAGGGACCAGACAGATTTCGAGCCGTGTTTGGGCACTGTAGTTTTACATGAGTTGATCCACTGATCGACATCTGTACAACCTTTCTATCAGATTTTCCCCACTCAATGAGCACCACAGGCTATAGCCTGCAGCGCTGATCAGTGTTATCTGAGAGCAGGGAAGTCTCCCCACTGTCAGAACACATTAGCCTAACAGATGGGTTCCCTTATCCACCTTCAATGTGTGGATGGGTGAATTAGGTAAGTTTTTTTTTCTTTCACCCCACTGGTTAAATGAAAAAAAACTGACAGGTTGCCTAAGAGGGGTAAGCATATTATAGTCAGTGGCAAATCAAATGGTCCTGAAATAGCAAACGTGCAATTTGGGGTTGATTTGAACTAGATGGAATGTGTATGAGGTGTGACAATTTAATTCCCAGAATTAACTGAAAAAAAAACTGCTTATCTATAGACAAGCTGCTGTTGTCACCTTCAGAGAAGTCCCCTTGTGAAGCGATGCACTTTTCTAGATGAATGTGCCACTACCAGAAACATTCCTGGAATTTGTTTTTCACAACACTGCGCAGTATCTTTGTCGGGGTGCTCCAGATGTGCAGGATGTCATCAAATCAAATTGAAGGCATTTTTTAATTTTGGAGACAGCTGAAAGTCGTAGGATCCTAAGTCAAGTGAATAAGGTGGTTGGTCAAGTTTCTAAATGGATTTATGAGCCAAGAACATGGAATGTTTTCGAATTGAATATGGATTATATTCACAGTAGGGTTTAAAAAGCACATATATAAAATGTGATGATTGTTGATTATTAGTTTGATTTCAACACAATTGTTTTCAATATTTTTTTTTAGAAATTGAATCATGATTATGCATTTATTTTATATACTGTATAAATCAAATTATTATTTAGGAGTCACATTTATAATCACATTTTGAGCATGGGTGTAACATTTTGCATTTTTAGAGTTAATTTGCCAACAGGATACTGCAGCTTTTAAATACTTTGAATACTCCAAAAAAACTTTTTTGGTGAGCGCTAAAGTTTTCATTTGGATATGGTGGTTGGTCAAGTTTTGGAATGGATTTCTGGGTCAGAAACTCAACTCACTTAACACATTGCGTGTAGGAACATTGTGTGGTGTAGAATCCACTTGTTAGGCTAGAGTTATGGTCTCTTTCTCCAAACAGATTCCGTGACCGATTCGGGAGTTCCAAGTAACAATGTTGGTTGACTGTTTTACCACGTTCTTGCATCATCACGGACATTTTCCAACCCATTCTTAAACCGCCTATGCCATTCAAAAACACTTGATTTCTTCATGGAATGTTCATCATAAACCACCACGGGAAGTGACCTGGTCCCACAGTTAGGTTGAAAAAAAGTATAAATCCATCTAGGTCAACCAATAGAATACAAAAAAAAAATCAAAACTTCCATATACACAATCCTATACTCACAGTTGATCCAGAGAAAAGTAAAAAAAAAAAAAACTTCATGTAGTATGGTCTAACTTGCTCCAGTGGGGAAAAATAATTCCTTAATGATCCCCCAGGAAGAAATCCGATATTTCCTGCATTAACTTCCCTTGGTGTTATTTCCTATAAATGTTAGTATCCAGTTATATTTTGTGTATTTAAGACTGGACTCTTTTTTTAAAAGAACCTACTGAGCTGGCCATTACTAGTTCCACAGCTTTCACTATGAAGAAGCCTTTCCGTATGCAGAGGTTAAATCTCTTCTTCTCCAGACATAAAGCATGCCCCCTTGTCCTCTGTAGTTACCTGAAAGTGAATAACTCAACACCAAGTTCACTGTATGGACCACTTATGTATTTATATATGGTGATCATATCCCCCCTTAGTCTCCTTCTCTCAAGAGAGAATAAATGAAGTTCCTCTAATCTTTCTTCATAGCTGAGCTCCTCCATACCTCTTTTCAGTTTGGTTGCTCTTTTTCAGTTCACTGATATCCTTTATGTGAACTTGTTCCCAAAACTGAACTGCATATTCCAGACGAGTTCTTACAAATGATTTGTACAGGGGCAAAATTATGTCTCTCTCTCTCTCTCTCTCTCTCTCTCTCTCTTTGTGGAGTCTATCCTCTTTTAATACAGGAAAGTATGTTGTTAGCTTTAGAAACTGCAGATGGCATTGTGTGCTATAGAAGATAAACTAACAAGTCTGTAGTTATTTGGTAAAAACTTTGATCCCTTTTTAAATATAGGCACCACGTTGGCACAGTGGCCAATCCAGTGGTACTACTCCACTTATTAAAGAGTCTCCAGAAATAATAAAGCTCAACTCTATGAGGAATTAACCCAACAGGTGTAATTTGTACATTCAGTTCAATAGGAAGCATAATTGCATAACAAAGAATCAAAAAGGTAAGTGCCATCAAGTGAAAGGGCATTCTGTGATTTACAAAGTCCTTGTCAACATATTATAAATATTACAGATAACAACATGAACAGAACTTTACAAGCAATCAGGTTTTACCCATTAGGAATTTTCTAGCCTTTCTCCTCAACCAGGGCATTTTTCTTCCATCCCTCTGTTTAGCTCCTGTGTATCAAAAGGAGTTTCCCTTCATTTTCTGGATATAATTTGTGTTGTGCAGGTTTATCTCACAGTCACTGATTCCAATATTAAAAAAACAGATTTTCATTTTGTCATTACTGATGGTCCCCCCAACAGGGAATTAGTTTCTTATTCCACCATTTTTTGGTGGCTCAGACAGATCCTCATTAAAGTATATGATCCTAAGGATCGGGTTCCATCCTTTCTGTCAAAGCAATGTCTACTAGATTTTTCAGTGCCTCTTTGGCTTTTTGACATCAGGCAAGTGTTTCCCAGATTTTCAAGGTTGCCACCTGGTTCTATGTTCACATGTTCTCTATGATCTACCAGGTGGATGTTCAGGTCTTATCTGATGCTAGCAAAGACATACGATCCTTCAGGCATCCCTAGGACTGTTTTTTTTATTATGTTGGCTTGTTAGTGTTTTGTTACCCCTCAGTTTGACAGCTATTTGATGTCCCAGTCTCTAAATCCTGTGTAACTCAACAAACGATAAAGAAAATGGATTTTGTACTTATTATAAAATCTATTTCTTGGAGTTCACTGAGGAACACAGGTCCCAACCCCTCTAGGTATGTGATTTTGCATTGCTACAATACTGAAGCATGTTGGGAGTGGGAGGGGTGATGCTGTTGTTTGCCAATGTACAAATCTTTATGTAGATGGCAGTATAACACAATTGTCTCTGAATCCCAGGTCCCTCAATGAACTCCAAGAAATGGATTTTACAGTATGCACAAAAAAAAAATCTAATTTTTTCACAGAAAAGAATGTAGATTTTCTGTAATTACATTGGGATATGCAGTCATTTTTGAGCAGATGGTGTTCAGTGGAATTGTGTTAGGAGTCAGTTCTCTATGCTTTCGCAAACAAAAATAATGCTGTTGCCAAGAGTTGCTGCTGTGAACAGTAGATGTTTGCATGCTTTAATATTGTAAATATCAGTTAATTTGTTGGTATTCACTAAATAAAAACTTTTACCACTGATGACCATCTCTTGGATTAGCTTGGTACCCCCGGGAGCAAAGCTTGCTTTGTGTTTCAGAGGCCCAGAAAAGGCATGTGTTAATTAAAGAAGAAAAAAGTAAAAGTCCACGCTTTGTTAGAAGTAGCATCAGGCGCCTCTCAGTTTGTTTGGCTAAGGTCCTACTGCCTTCATTTATCTGAGGTGAAAATATAAGAGCTTGGTATTACCCTGGCTATGGCTTCATGACTTTGTAAAATGTTTCTTGGGCCAGCAGTCATAGTGTTGAGGTATTTGAGGAAAACTAGGTCACTTTATAACCAGAGGAACCTGGTGCTGGTTTTGTTACCATTCTTCACTGCACTAGGTATAAGGACATACAAGGGCCATGATACTTAGATTATTCAAAACTCTGAGGCTGGCAAAGTGGTTAATGGAATATGCTTTAGCTGTTTAGAAAAATGCTCTTTATTTTTAAAAATGCAAGGAGAAAATGATATTGATTCTGTGTCATTGTTTAATTTGTAAATTTTCATGTCTGTTTTAGCCTTAGAAATGTACAGTAAGCTAAAGGAACAGATAAATGGGAAAAGGTGAGTGTAACTGCAGTGTTGAACAGTACCTTTTGAAGAATCTGATGACCTGTGTTGTCTTCTATACCATGGACTTTACATATCTTTTTTTCTTACTAAATTATTGCATTAAAGGAGAACCCTAGTTTTTTAGAGCAGAGGTTTATAAGATAATTTAAAAATGATGCCTAACTTTGTAAAATTAATAGTTTCTGTCAGTTTATATGTTCTGCATCAAACATAGCTCAGCTTGCCTTCCCTGTTTAGGCAAAATGCTTAAAATCTTTTTTTCACTTAAAAATACAGCAGATGTGTGACTTCTATAGTGCCAGATATCCAAAAATAGCACTGCAGAGATATTGATCATATTTATATTAGTATTCTTATGGTCTTCTCCTCCTAACCCTTGGGTAAAGTTCTTCTAAAGTAACCTGCCAAAATAATAATTGGTGTAGCACTGGTATGTAAGCTGTGCTTAGGGGCACCTACACCTTTTGAAATTTAACATTATTGGACTTCTTAAGGGGTAGATTTGTAGACTTTTATCAAGAGCTTTTCAAGCTCCTTCAAGTACATGAAAATTTTTGTCCTGGGTCTGCCATGCCTCTTTGTGCATCCCAGGGATTGATTTATGTTTTGTTACTTATTGGCCTGCGGTTTGCATGTCATGTCATCCCTCAAGAGGACAGCAAAATCTTTTGGTGACTGCAATCTTTCCCTAGATTGCTGCAATGGACATGAAGTTGTTAAGCTTTTGACTGGCTCATTATGCTTCTCTTCAATTCTGCATCTGTTCTCAATTTCTGAAGCCCAAGCCCAAGTTTGATTGCATCACCAAGATGCTGGGCCTCTTTGTTTTCAATATGTTTTTTATTTTAAAGAGAGATACAAATCAGTTTGGAAATTGATTCCCCAAAACTGAGAAACCAATATATTGACAAAGAAGTGATCATTACATAAATGATACAAACTGTAAGGTGACACGGTCAACGAATGGTCAATATAGCAAAAGCAGTGAAGGAGATGGCAGCCATAAGGCTGATTCTGTTAATTGACCTGAGTGACATAAATGGTATCTGTCTGGTAATGGAAACTTTAGGTTCTGTTGGAAAAAAAAGAGGAAGAGAAGAACGGAGGAGGGGAGAAAGAAGAAAGGAATGGGAGGGGTGTGATGCAGGGAGTGTCCGGCCCAGTGGGAGGCCACTTATGTGGTTGTCAGGCTCACCAAAGAAATTGTTGGATGTCAGTATGTGAGCCAGGGACTCCAGATTTTAAGAAATTTTGCATGGGTATTAGTAAGAATACTAGTCAATTGCTCATTAATAAAAATGCTATCCAGGCGAGATTCAGCTTCTGAAAAATGGGTGAATTGCTTCTTCCTTGCCTTAGCAATTGTAAGTTTATAAGCTAGTAGCATAAAGTGGACCAATTAGAACTGGTGTTTAGTAATGTTCAGAGGTTTAAAATGCAGTAGGGCCAGCCAGGGGTCCTTAGTAAGCGGTGTTCCAAGTAGTGAACGCAACAATGAGAAGACCCTGGTTCAGAAGCGGCCCAGCATAGGGCAGGTCCACCAAATATGTAGGACATCACCAGGGCATCCTCGGAAGCTAGGAATGAGTTTCCAGGGATGATATGGGCAAGTCTGGAAGATACCATATACCATCTCATTATTACTTTGTATGCAGATTCCAGGGTAGTTACATTAATAGTGCAAGAAGCAGTGGAGGACCAAACGGCCTTCCTGTCCTAGGCAGGCTTGTGGGCCTTCAATTCTTCCTCCCACTAAGCCACATAGGCATGAGCCATTTGTGTGGATAATTGGGATGCTGGGCCTCTTTTTATGAAAAAAGAAAGACAAGTTCTTGTACAGTTGTCTTTATATTAATGCTGCCTAAAAAAAAAACAAAATTGCCAACACAAACAGATATCTACTGCTCCAGCTATTTGTCTTCAGAAAGCTGTCAGTACCAAACTATTAATTGCTAGATGATCTGCTGACAGATATATTTGCTAGTTTTACATCATGATCTTTTCTTTAAACAGCACATCCATGTGAATTGTGATTTGCAGTATGGTCTCTGAAAAAGTTGGAAAAGTGGCATTTGAAGTAGATGAACCACAGATGCTCCTTTTACATTATTTTAGCACATCGCCTACTGATTGACCACAAGAAGATCACAGTAGTTACAATTTGGCAGTAGAAGCCATATGGTGTTTTGTCTGCTTTTGTACCTGCTTTTCACAATTCATCAGGATCCCCACCAAATAACCTTGTTGTGAAGACGATAGTACAAAGGGTTTGCCCATAGAAGCATTGGAAACTTTTTGATTCCTGCTTTCATTTCTACCTAGTGCTTTAGAGAAGCTACTCCAATTTTGTACTCTTGGAAGTAGATGCTGATCCCACCTGCATAGTCTTTTCAGATTGATCAGGATCTAAAGGGCTTTTTTCCATCACAGTTTTGCCTCCAAATCCTTAGTTAGCGACATAGTTCTAAGCTCAGTGGTCATTTGGGGATTTATTGACTTCAAGTTGAATGCTTACTTCTGGATCACACTCAGAAACAACATATATACTGTAGACTGTAAGCCTATTGAGTAGTGATTTTATAGAGCTGCACCCACCCATTAGGAATTAATATTGTGGCTGACTCTGGTAAGAAGGAGAGGTTACTGTAACATGGAGGTAGTCATTTTAAATAAGGGCCTGCACAACAAACTCTCAGCAAAAAGTAAATTTAAACTCTTCACTCATATATCTAGTTTTGACAACAGGCAGATGTTGCATATAAATGGATCAATTTGTCAAAAGTGTAATGAAGGGTTCAAAAAAAACAATTTTTAGTTAAACAGCATGAAATGTAATGAAAATAGAATCATAGGAGACTGAATATTATCCCTTAATATTTTACACCATCTAAAACAATTTAAGAAGCAGCAATAAATGAGATCCTTAGAGAGCACAGTTGGAACAGAGGAATAATGATCTCTTCCTAGTTCATTAATATCTACTTAATCTATCATAACACATCATAAATGAATTTACAGTTTAAACAGCACGACAATTGACCTTGACTATGTCCTTCGTACAGCTCTGTGCTAGCCGTTTTCACTAGAGTAGTACCTATTTTTTCCTGTTATTAGTATCATCTCTTTTATTATATGAGACATTCATCTCAAACCAGTGCTAGTTTGGCTTTTATAGGTTTGCTCATGAAGATGTGACATATACATTTAAAAGTTTGAGCACCCAGTACATATTCACAATTATATGGCTTAAAGGAAATCTAAAGTTCTTTGTAAAGTACATCTGCCTTGTTTATTAACTTCTCCTATTTAGTACTGCCTTACTGTGTGACAGAATTGATAAATGTCCCCCAATGTGTGCTAAAGTAGACCTTGCAGTATAACAGCAAAGTTAATTTTACATATCAGGACCCCTTCCCATCATAAATAGCAGCTTTAACAAAAAAAGGCTGTAGGAAAAATAGATATTAAATATACATATCTTTCAACTGTGGTACATAGGTGAGGGTTACTTGACAATCCTTCCAGTGAGATCCTGTGGAATGCTGAGTGTCCCAAGTCTTTGCAAGAAGACAGACACTTGCTTACTATGAGGTATTCAGAATTTTCTTATGGACACACAGAGCAGGGCTCAGGGCATTGCTTATGACAGGGAAGAGGAGCAAGGAGCGCCAGCAGGGGACCTGTGAAGAGGAGGATTGGGGCTGCTTTTTGTAAAACCATTGCACAAAGCAGGTAAGTATAACACGTTGGTTATTTTTAAAAAATGTAATTTTTGCATTTACAATCACTTGTATAAGATGTTACATGTTCACATATTTACACATTTTGAATAAGTAGTAAAAGTACTTTAACCTTTTTGCTGCCAATGACATGCCTCACAGCTCATGGCACAGAAAGGGCTAAAATAAACTTTCTATAGTGTGGCAATGTGCAGCTCTGCCCCTTCACTGACACACACACGGTCCCAAGCTCTCCTGCATCTCTTGACAGCCCAGGATCATTGTAGATTGCTCAGGATGGCCCACAGCAAAGGATCTGTGAAAATCTGTACACCAATTTCCCACTCTGTAGAGTGAACCCTGAGGTGTTCTGCTCCAAGGTCTTTCAAACTGCTGCGGGTTCGGTTGAGGACAGGAGCAGGTCAAGCACAGTCTATGCTTGACCCTCTAGGATAGCGGGCAAGGGAGACAACCAGGGTCTAATAGACCCTAGATGTCTCATTAAAGATAACCCATCACCTGCCCAAGGCTATCACATAGGGGGCTTATTAGCCTTTTTGTGATAGCAACAAAATTAAGCAAAACCACTTAAAAGGTGTTTTAAAATACTAAACCCTTATAAAATAAATACAAAAAATTAGAGGACCCTTGCCCCTATATACCTACTCCTAAGATACATGTTCAAATGTAAATGGTAATCAGGTAACACATAATAGGTATTGCCGTGCATACTAGAATGAGTGTAATCATTCTAGGTCTAGTATTTACAGTTAACTCTATACTATAACATTTTGAGTCTCATAATTTCATTCTTGTCCATTGGCGGACAGAGGAATTCTTTGAATTCCTAGACTGGTGGCCAAAAAGTTTTTGGCCAGCAGAGGATAAATCACTTGTAACCATCATGCCTTTTTGCTAGTGTCCTCAGGAAAAAGGATGTGTCTTCTTCAGCTCTGCTGTGCTCTGTTTGCTTGGAGGATCTTTCTACTATCAACATCTGCTAGCAGATTTGTATTATGCATGTGTTAAATCTTGGAGGTCTCTAGTTAGCCAGCGAGCACTGGAAAATTCATGCTGGTATGCTAAATCCTGGAAGTCCCTCCAGTCAGTCTCAGAACACAGATTTACCAGTTCATACTGCTGTTCTGTCTGTGAAGCCATGAATTCCTGGTCATCTACAGCTGCTTTATTACATTATTATTATACAGGATTTATATAGCACCAGCAGTCTGTGCAATGCTTTACTATGTTAGGGCAGACAGTACAGTTACAATATAATTCAATACAGCAGAGGGCCCTGCTCATTAGTGCTTACAATCTAAGAGGGAGGGTCAAGAGATATAAAAGGTAATAACTGTGGGGGATGAGCTGATGGAGAAAGTGGAAATAAAGTTGTTAGGTGGAGACGGGATAGGCTTCTCTGAAGAGAAAGTTTTTCAAGGAATACCTAAAAGTAAACAGATTAAGAGATAATGGACATATTGGGGTAGGGAGTTCCATATGATGGGAGAGGCTCGGGAAAAGTCCTAGAGGCAAGCATGGGAGGAGGTGACAAGGGAGCTATAGAACCTGAGGTCTTGGGAGGAACGAAGAGAACAATTTGGTTGGTATTTTGAGACTAGATTAATGATGTAGCTAGGGATTGAGTTGTGGATGTCTTTTAAAAGTTATGTTAGTATTTTGAATTTAATTTGTTGGGTGAGTGGCAGCCAATGGAGGGATTGGCAGAGATTCATAATTTGTGATTTTCTTTCACTATCAATGATAATGGTAGACAGGACAAATAGAGAGGGTGAATCTTCTGAACGGGGGCACAGATAGTAATAATACCTGACAGGCATTCTAATCCCTCTCCACTTTATCCAAAACTTAGACAATTACAACAGGAAGTTTTTGGCTTTTAGTTATACTTTAATGGCTGTTTTGTGTGGGTGTTATTTCTCCAATATTCTAGGCTTGCTTATGTACTTTGCAAGTTGACCACATGGGGGAGCCCTACTCTTTATTTTTGTGTAGGAGGTTCTCAAGGGAAAGGTCTTTACTTTCCCGCCCCCTTCTCCCCCCCCCCCCCAACTGTTTGATTGCCTTGGCTTTAATTCAGGAGCACACAGGAGAATGTGGCTCACACACATGCTATATGGTAAGGATTAAGGTAAGGGATTTTGAAGCACCCTTCACCAGTATTTCATTGCCATGGCGACCTAACTGCCAGTTTACTCCACCAAAGCCTGCAATAACTCCTCTTACACATGTTGCAGCAGCTTCTCTAGCCAAGTACAGAGGGCCCATGTCTATGCAGACCACAGACTTAAGATGGCCATACATTATACAATTTTCTTATTCAATTTCCTTTAGGTTTACCTTCAATATGTAGTGCAAGAGCCTGCCTGGTTGTATACAAATTGAAAATGTTTAGATTTGACCTCATATTATATGGTCTTGGTAAATCTAAAGGAAAATTGTACAACACAGTTGTATAATGTATGGCCAACCTTATGATCCACAGTCACTTTGTATGAGCACCCTACCGATGACTTGGTTGTTGGAAAGTCACGTCTACCAATCAACTTCAAACTTTGGTAGCTTTGGCTGTCACTGAACCATACTGCTGAGACATCATCTGATGTGCATTCAGTTGGCTGTTGTGAAAAAAACTTACATGAGGCTGATATCAAGGGATATTGTTAATAAATTGAACTTTAAAAACAAGTGATACTCTCCTGAAACCCTCCCTGATATCACTTTGCACACAGTTTGTAAAAGAAAAAAGAAAAATATGTCCAAGTTTTTTACTTTTATTATGAAAAACACCATCAACAGCACCTCCAGTGTTCTATTCACCAGGTAGTTATCGATATAGGTAAGCTACAACCCCCATTAGCCAATGAGAGGTTGTCATTTTGTTGGCTGAGCCAAGGTAAGTCCCTTTCTTTGCCCAGTCTTACAACCATTGAGGGTGGTGGGAAAATTGATCAAGCACAAGCGTGATGGACGTGCTGCCTTCATTGATATGTATGTAGTATATGACATATTATTTAGCACTATGAAGAGCATCTGCATGTGATTGTCATCATAACAGGACAGTGTGGAGGAGGGCAGGTTTCCAGCAAATTAAAATGAAATCTGCATGCAGTTGTTCCCGTCATTTTAGGCAAGGCTTGTGATGTTTATTTAAGGCCAAGGTTACACTTCGTATTTGGCAGCGATCTTCCATCAATATTCCAAAAGTGTGAAAATCAGGATTTTCCACAGAGCCCCCCTACATTCTGCCAGTGGTAAAGAAAGAGATTAAAGGTTATGTCCCTGATTTTCGCTGAATCAAATTTAGTTTGTTGAAGTCCTGTGTATCATAAATAAATGCCATATTTAAAAAACATTATTTTTCACCCATTTTTAATCCTTCGTTGCACCTTAGTACTGTGGATCTCCAGCAGCCTCTTTGCAGCCGTTTTCTGTTCACACACAAGTACTCTCGTGATGATTTTATAGTATATGTCTTATAAGAAAACCGCAGGCAAAAGAAATTGTTTGTGCACAGACACATTTTAGAGCCTTGGGCTTCTGAATAACAGTTTTTCAGTTCTTAGTCTGGCGCCCATAGATTTTTCCCATCCAGATACTGTTGCTTTGGCTTCTAACAAGCAGACTTGACTTTAATGACCATCGGAATCTTACTAATTCACAACTGAAGTGTGCAGAGCACAATACAGGTATCAGCTAAATGCATATATGTGTTCATCATGCTACCACGAATAGAAGATGCTTTTAGCTAGGATATTATATATAAATTTACCAATTTTACCAGTTACTTTGCACCAGTACTTGATGCTCTTTGCTTGCAAGAACTGTTTACAGAAGTGAGCGCATGACCCTCTACAATATCCATTGTAGATGCATTATCCTAAGGCTGAGTACTACATGACAATTTTCTGTGTGTATAAACTGCCAAATGCAAGCAATACAACATAAATCCTGACCTGCAAATGACCTACAAATTAAAAAAGTCTCAAAGCTCCCATCGGAGCAGATGTTGAAAGGGCAAGGCCTTGAGCTGGAGATATATATAATTAGCAAGGGGCTCAAGAATGGGTTTAAGTTGGATTATGCTAATTCTGATTTCAGTAACTGCATTGGAAAAACCTTCCAGATGAACCAACAGTGTTGCGATAAGCTGATTTATATAATTTGAATAAAACCGTTTATATGATTTTAATGCCGTTATGGAATTATCTCCCGAGAGGTCACGCCATGTGAAGCTGCTCTTTTAGAAATTGGATGAAAGAAGTCCTGAAACTCATCTGTAGCATTCTAATTTACAGCTTACGCCATTCTACACAATTCACTCCTTCGCTGACCACGTTATTTATTTTAATGTCTTGCCAGTGTGATCCTATTAACCGCAGCCACAGCTCTGGGCTGAGCAAAACAACAAACATTGAAATTTGCATGTCGGGAGTTTCTAGTACGATGCTAAAAAGTAATATGAGGACAACTGTTAAAGGGAAAAACATATCTCCCATTTAGATTGTAAAGTCCGTATTGCTCATTATTAAATATTTCCATACTTGCCTAGTCAAAGTGCCCAATTTTTTTGCAAATTATGAGAGATCCTACAATTGTTTGAATACTATAACCAACTTATCTTGAGTTACTTTTGCTACTTTTGTTGAGAGCACAAGTTTCCTTGACCCTGCTACGAACATTGTCCTGTAACCTCACTTGTGTGCCCCTTGCTGAAGGCATTATGTGCTGTTGTATTGTCTCATGTGGTTAAAGCAAAGTACTAGTGGAGAGAAACACACATTTTAGGGCAGGAAATTCAGCTCGCTGCATTATATAGTTCTTACACTTTATTTTCTGCTGTGGTCTAACTCTGGGAAAAGCAAAAATCAGTAGGGGTATTCCCGCACTGCAAGAGTTATATGTTCATTCATAGCAATTTTACTTACCTGATTCTACGCTCCTCTGGCAAATCTCACTTCCTATGCTCCTGCAGTGGACTGCTCCTCTGTGTCCTCAAGTCCAATGTAGGGCTTTGGAATCGGTCTTGAGGATGTCAGAGAACATCCAACTACCGGATCATAAGGAAGAAGAGGCTGCAGGAACTAGTGCTGCAGTACGGAGAAACCTGCAGGAGCTGGGGATTAGGTAAGTAAATCGACTTTTCTCAAGTCTGTAGACATAAACAAGCATTTAACCTATGAGGTGCACGGATAGCCCAATTGCAAGAGCTCAATTGCAGTTCAGCTTTAAAGGTACTGGGAGGGATGTAGTATACCACTTTAAAATGCATGTGATATATGGTTTGCATGTTAATGTGCATCCATTAATTGTTTGTCTTTACTGAAAAGTCTCATGCTTGCAAAATGAAAATTCACTTGGTCACAAGTGCTTAATGAATGAGGTGAAGCTATGCTGACTTCGATCATCCAATGAATGGGTATACTTTGCAAAATAAATCTTCGCTTAGCTTCACCCCATTCACTGAGCTAAGTAACAATTGCAAACGAACAGCCTCTATGCATTTCTACACACGCCTAAATGTAAATAGAGCCTTATGAAATTTGTGGTATTGACTGGTGGCCAGGTATAATCTCTGCTGTTTGTTGCATTAAACAGACTATGTAATGTGTGTTTACAGACTTACTGATCCATAATGTAATTATCTACTCACAGGTATTACTCTGCTCTAAAGACAATGGACCAACTAGAACACGTTTACCTCCCCAAAGTCTCCCAGTATCGTTTCTGCCAGATTATGGCAGAGAACCTCCCCAAGTTACGAGAAGAGATCAAGGATATCTCCATGTCTGGTCTGAAAGACTTCCTAGAGAGTATCAGGAAACACTCTGACAAAATAGGAGAGACTGCAATGAAGCAAGTACGAGTCCTATATCATCTGTTCTGTCATGGGGCTTATGTGCAAGGAAAGCCTAGTGTTTAAATAGCCTTACTGAAATATACACATAACTGAATGAGTTAGAGCAGTGACTCATCCCTTATTGGACTTTTACCTTAAAGAATGTCTTCCTATACAGATGGCAAAAATCATCTTTACACTATGTATAGTTGTTTTTTTTTTTTTGGGGGGGGGGGGGGGGGTTGGTATTAATCTTATTTTACACTGTCTGTAAAGGTTCTTGTTTATCCAGGCCATGGTATTGCTATCAGTACTTACATTCAACTAGAATTGCTCTGTAATGTTGAATACGTTGTATGTTGAATTGATTTATTTAGGCTGTGTGTTTGTTGTTACCGGTTTAGCCCAAAATGTCAAATTTGGGACCTGGGACCACCAGGCTAAAACAGTAGTAATAAACACAGTGTCCAAAGTCAAAGAGCATCTCAGGGGTGCTTAAAAAATGTTGTTGCTACCTAGACTGGGTTTTCATTAGAATAGCACATGGTCAAGCAAAAACAGAGGTTGGCCTCACAGAGGAGAGAAGCAGAACACAAACATCAAGGATTTTTAACTGTACATTGGGTACCCCCCCCCCCCCCCCAAATAAAAAAAGCACGTAACAAAACAACTGCATGACCCAATATGACCTGTTAAAATGCTGCTCAAAGTTTATGATGAACTGATCCCTCTGGTCCTCAGAGATAGGGATGCCAACCCAACATAAGCAAATGCAGCAGTCTTCCTACACCTTAACGAGAAAGGAAGTTCTTTCAAGGACAATAAAGTGCACATTTTGGACAGGGAGAACTGGTTCGCAAAAGGTGTGAAGGAAGCCAGCTATGTCAAACTTGAACAACCTTCCCTAAGTAAGGATTGGCACCTTCAAAACCATCTTTAACCCAAATACAATTTTTTTTCCTACACATCAATTCCTTGACAATTTTATGACAATTCACTGCTTTGGCTGTGTAATTCAAACATTTAGAACCTTCCCCGTATTTTATGGCATAATGGTAATTAGATCGTGAAAATAGAATAAACTTTCACACCTCCCGCCATGTTCTGTGACATCTACTTTGACACATAAAATGACACCATGGTGGATCAAGGTGAATGAGTTACACATACTGCTATAAATGAAGGGTTAAAGAGCAAGATTTCCAAGATAATCTTGTGCCTTAAGCCTCAAAATATTATTTCTTAATCACCATTATAGTGTAGAAAAAAACTATTGGTTCAGAGACAACAAGTGGATTTAATCACTTAATCTGATGCACCACTATACCCCTTATGGATGAGAACACTTTTTAATTTTAGTAATGGCCTATTAATTTGGCTATAGCTTGTCATTTACTTAAGAAAACAGAGTATTACCTAAACATTTTTTATGAGACAATCAGTCAATATAGTTTAGCATGATTACTGTTCAAAATTATTTTTTTTTATAAAAAAAGGATGTAACAAAACAGTACAAGGTTTCTCTAATTTGACCAATGTCAGTCATAAGACAATTAACGTTACTGTTGATAAAACCCCCCCCCCCCCCCAAAAAAACAAAGAAACAACAACAACTTTATTTAATTAGTAAATAACTTTGCTTTGCTATGTACTAGGCTCTGTATATATAACTTTATGGTCAATATAGTCAGTACAAATAATAGAATATGGTTTACACTTATTAATGTGCGTCATTAAAAGAAATTAACAAAATGTAAAACTAAAAGAAAAGTTTAAGGTATAAATAAAGAAAGGAATTAAAATGAAAAAGGGCAGAAAATTAATAATTGAGGAGAGAAGGGGAGGAAGAAGTCAGTTAAAGTTGATTTCAAAATAATTAATACTTTGACTGACATGATATGCACAGCGGATAAAATAAGTATTGAACACATCACCACTTTTCTAGGTTAATATATTTCTAAAGTTGCTATTGACATGACATTTTCACCACATGTCAGTAACAACACATGCAATCCATACATACAAAGAAATCATAACAAATAAGTTCAGAAATTAAGTTATGTGTAATAAAATGTAATGACACAGGGAAAAAGTATTGGACACATGAATAAAGGGCATTGAAAAAAGGCATAGAAAGCCAAGACACCAGCTGAAATCTATCAGTAATTAGAAAGTAATCCTGCTCTTTGTCAGTGCAAGTTAATATCAGCTAGTTTAGTGTCAACTGATGGCCTATAAAAAGGCATCTCATTACCAAGGTTTCACACAAGAAACATCACAACATGATGGGTAAAAGCAAAGAGCTCTCTCAAGACCTTCGCAGCCTTATTGTTGCAAAGAATATTGATGGCATAGGCTACAGAAGGATTTCTAAACTTCTGAATGTTCCAGTGATCACTGTTGGAACCATATTCCGGAAGTGGAAAGAACATAATTTCCCCATAAACCAGCCAAGACCAGGTGCTCCTCGCAAGATTACTGACAGAGGAGTGAACAGAATTATCAGAAGAGTTGTCCAAGAGCCAAGGACCACTTGTGGAGGGCTTCAGAAAGACCTGGAATTAGCAGGTACAATTGTTTCAAAGAAAACAATAAGTAATGTACTCAACCACCATGGCCTGCATGCATGCTCACCACTCAAGACTCCATTGCTGAAGAAAAAGCATGTTGGAAGCTTGTTTAAAGTTTGCTGCACAGCATTCAGACAACCCTGTGAAATACTGGGAGAATATAGTCTGGTCAGATAAGACCAAAATCTGAACTCTTTGGATGCCATAGTACACACCATGTTTGGAGGTCAAATAGCACTGCACATCACCCCAAGAACACCATACCAACAGTGACTACGATAAGAAAGTGCAGCGCTAAAAAACTATGTTAATATAATAAACTCGATGAGATACTATAATATAATCAATAGAATATATGGGTCAAGTAAAAACCATAAATGAACGTCATAGTATAATTATTAAACCATGAAATAAAAGTTCATAAATAGATTCAAAATCAAGGGTCATGTGTGGGCCCCAAGGTGACGCGGTTAATCCCAGTGGTATACCAGTCATCCAACATAAAGGTGGGTGGCAACAAGTAGATAAAATGCGCACTCACCAGGTATGCAAAGGAAATGCGCAATGTATTTAATCAAATGAAGGTCTGCCCGGAATCCCTCTTAGGTGGTACAGCTTAGGATGGGTAGGTAACGTCAGGGTATCTTTACATCCGGGGGTCCACTTTAAGGATGTATAAGCAGCCTCTTCATGAACCAGGGATGGTCACCAGGGGGAGCTCTGGGGAAGTAAAAGCTCACCAAAGAGCCATAAGGGGAATACCCATAGTGTAGTATTTCAAATTAATTTTATTAGTAATCATATGAGATAAAAATATAAATTAGCGGACACTGTCCTGTCAGAGCAACACAATGTAGAATGATATAGCAACGAATAATGCAGAGTAACGCCACAGCAAAGAAGCGTCGCTATGTGCACTGACCAGCTGGTATGATGTGGGGCCGCCGGACCAACGTGATCCGGCGGCGTAGCGTCAACGGCGTGCAGGCTCCTCCAACAATTTCTTATTTTATACCAACAGTGAAGTTTGGAGGTGGGAACACCATGGTGCGGGGCTGTTTTTCAGCATATGGTACCTGTAAAAGTATTGGAGGAAGGATGAATGGAAAAATGTACCAAGACATTCCTGATAAAAATCTGCTGCCATCTACCAAGATGATGAATATGAAACGATTGGTTTCAAAGAAAGAACATAAAGCTACTTGAATGACCCAGCCAATACTGGACTTGAATCCAGTAGAAACTCTATGGAAAGAACTAAAGATCAGAGTTCATAGAAGCCCACGGAACCTTCAAGATTTAAAAACTGTTTATGTGGAAGAATGGACCAAAATCACACCTGAGCCATGCATGCTACTAGTTTCTCCATACAGGAGGTGTCTTGAAACTGTCATTACCAACAAAGGATTTTGTAAGAAAGTATTAAATAAATTTCGGTTAGCGTGTTCAATACTTTTTCCCTGTGTTATTCCATTTTATTACACAGAACTTAATTTCTAATCGTATTTGTTTTGGTTTCTTTGTATGTATGTATTACATGAGTTGTTACTGACGTGGTGAAAATTTCATGTTAATAGCACCTTTAGAAATATATTTACTGAGAAAAAAAATGGTGACGTGTTAACTACTTATTTTATTTGCTGTGTATCAAACTCCTTTCATCTGCACAAACTTCATCTGCAAGAACTTATTAAAATATACATTGCAATGATATTATTATTACAATGCATTTATAGACAAACTCTCAAACATTGTTTGCAGGGTTGGTCTATGCAAGGTGTATGTTTTTGCATAGTGGACACCTGCAACACAGACTAGGACCCAACGTACAAAGTGGCCATAAGGTGGCAGCTAAAAGCATGCATCTACAAACCTTATGGTCAATCTGGCAGTACTGGGGTATGTTCTTACACTCATTAGAAATGAGGAAGCAACTTAGATGAGTGTCAAAACATTTTTAACACTGCAGAACAAGTTCAGCTGGAAGTATCTAACAGGTACTAGCTATTATTTTCCACAATCTGTTGGTAAAACTGGAAGAAGCAGTGCATTTTTTCCCTTTTTTAGTTCTTTCAAAGTTTCTGTTTTAACATTTGTAAGAATTTTGTTTTCTCCAAGTTTGCTTTTTCTGTTAAACCCAGGCACAACAGCAGAAAACATTCCATGCCGCTCTACACAGACAAACCAATGTCTCCTATAGAAAGCCTATGTACATCATTAATGGCCATGGTTCTGAAGATGAAAATGGACTGAAATCAAAAAGTCCAATGCTGGAAGATGAAGAAACCGAAGAAGAGGTATAGTTTTTTCTTTTTTCTCATATTAGTAAAAGCAGCTTGGGCAGTGGTAGTTGGTGACTAAACAAAGTGATTAATCCTTTTTGCTGGTTGGTAGTGCAGCCTTTATTCGCTTTCCTAGTAGCGCAGGCATGCTGATACTTTTAAATGCCCACAATTTCTAGTCTCTAATTGTAATCAAATCAGCTTTCTGAAATGCTGCATGTGGGTGACATTTAGTGATTTTAGTTTAGAGGTGTTTTTTTCCTTTAGATAAACTGATGATCTCTACTTTTCTTCAGTACACTGTATACCTCTCCTATTTTCAGCAGGTCCTAAGTGTTCAGGATTTGGTTGACTTCACACCTGTGTATCGATGTCTTCACATCTACTCCGTTTTAGTAAGTACCTTGTCAATTATTTGAAACACTTGCACACCAAGGATTGGAGAAACAGTTGAATCTGCTTTACAAACTTCAAATGTCATGTCCCTAAACAAATAGTTACAGAAGAGCTCTAGCCATTTTCGTGTTTATTAAAAGTCATGAGCTACAAAAAAAACTGTAGCTGCTGACTTTTAATAAACAGACACTCACCTGTCCCAGGATCCAGCAATGTGCTCACGCAAGCTGTCCTTTCCCTCCGTCTTCTGTCCCCGGTGTCGGCATCTCAACTTTCGGCACCGGGCTGTAACAGCTTGCGGCTTCACAGACGGGTGTGCACTGCGCATTGTGAATGGTCCTGCAGTCCTCTGGATCCTGTCACATGTTCCGGAAGACTGCGGGGAGGGAGGAGAATTTCCACTTCTGATCGCCTAAGCGGTTTGAGCTTGTACTTGTCAAACACAGAAACTAGGACTTCATTCAATAAATTAATTTCATGAAAAGTATAATTTATGGAACATGGTAAAAGTGTGATTGTGACAGCATGTATTTTAGGCATTATCATCTGATCGTTAACCCTGCTATTTCTAAACCAATTAGAAATATTTGGATATTGAACAGTCAAGGTGATAGATGGAGATCTGTTATAATGGCCATCAACCTTGGATAGGTGCCTAACATATTCTAAGTCATGCTATAAGCATTGATGCATAGACTGCCTACGTTTACAGGTTTATGTCTGGAGTAGAGAGGGACAGATCATCCAAACAACTACAGCAACAGCGGTTTTCTGGGGGTACTAACAAATGTGCACATCTAAAAATATCTAACCTAGCCAGTTGCCATTCACCCCCACTAAGAACGATCATTTGGAACTCTTATGCTGCAAGTACCCTTTGACATGTTAACCTCCCTGGAGGTATTCCCAAGTGTAGCTCGGGGTAAAGTTTCAGCACCACAAGCGGTAACCCGAGGTACACTCGGGAATACCTTGCAGCGCTGCTCCAGGATCTCTTCTTCACTTACCTTGTCCTTCGCTCCCGCGATGTCCCTCCTGCAGTGTCACCGGCAATGTCCTCCGGTCGATGCCGGCATCCATCTTATGGGTTCCGTTCCCTGCGACGTCAGGACTTACGGGGATGAAACGGCGGGAAATTAAAAAATGTGAAAAAGTGACATTCACTAAATTCACTAAAATCACATAGTAAAACATTACTGTATCAAACCATTTCACATACATTTTGTCCCGAGTGCTTTGTCCTGTGCCCTGCCTGCATTTTTACTGTTCTTTCTGCCTGGAAACTGAGAAACGTCCATGGAGTCCAAAAAGCGTCCCTTTAGGTCAAAAGCGGTTTTAGACCAGCTAGAGAACAGCGATAGTAAATTAGAACTACTTGCAGAATTGAGTGATAATGATTCGTGGGGAAATTCGTCATCAGACACTGAAAACGATTTTGCGACTTTGCTTAGTGATGTGTGAACTTGGCGCTATATTTCAAATTTCAGTGGTTTTGGTTTGATTATATTATTGAATTAAATTTATTATTATTATATTATTATTTTTTTATGATTATTTATTAAATTATAATTTATGATTTCGTGTTTCAAGTTTTATCATACCCGGGATGTTTACTAGACTCTTGTTCGGACAGATTTCAGTGAGTTATTCCTAAAAATTACAGGCCTACAATAAAAAAAAATACATATTTCCATGCAAAAAAAGTACCGCTTTGAGCACAGAAATACGGACATAATCAGACCGCTAGGGAGGTTAATATTTGTCTGATGCAGTCTAAATGACCCAAGTCAGGTAATAATATTCCATAAAGTATGCCTTCATTGTACGTAGCCACTTCCAGTTCCAAGTTCAGCAAATTAAGCACTCAACATTGCCAGGTCTCTGGACTGGGTGAGATAAATGTAATTATATGTTTTACACTAAACTCCTCTTCCCTACTGCAGAAATATTAATTTGCAAGCTCATGACCCACTTCTGCTCTCTGCATGCAGCCCTGCATTTATTTATTTTGTAGCACTAGATATTGCTTTGGTGGGTTTCCTGACAATCAGCCAGCTACATGGCAGCATGCATAGAATAATCATACCAGGGCCAAAACTTTGCAGATGTCTGGATTGGAGTCACAAATGCATAAGCAGAGCACCTCATAAAACACCTCAACCTGATCTAGTGATCGTAAAGTTCTTTGAAACATTCAAGCGTTATCTGACCATCATGCAACCATTTTTGTAAAAATTTAAACATAACCATGCACAGTTGAATCCCTCAACTGTACATTTTTATGGGATACCTTTGCTATCTCCAGGATAGCAGTAGTAATTGTCCATAAAATAAAACCCAAGATCAGCTATTCCCCAGGAGCTTTTGTTTGGTGTCCTGCAGAAATGTAATAAGGCAGAATGGTACCCTAGACAGTTTAGCAACTCTGGTCCCCCATCCCTTTGATTGATACTGATAAAAATGGTAATAGGCACAGAGATGCTGCCTCATTTGCATTGCCTGCCCCACCAGACTTCAACTGCCTATAAGTTCATCCTCCCTTGAGTATTGACAGTTAGGAAAACCTCTTTTAACAACTGCACTATTCACCTGATTCACTGCAGGGGAATGAAGTTTATAGCTGGGTTCTCTAGACATCCGCTGGACCCTAGGCTCACATCTAGGTTACTTTTTGGATGGTCCAACTTTAGGCATATGGCAAGGTTCACATGGATACAATCAACACCTTACCCAGCCAGAATCTCCCAGATCAGGTGACCATCTGATGTTTGTGGGTTCCTGGATTAGTTTCATCATTCAGATGTGGCTGTATGAATACGTGCTGCTCTTGCAGTTCTATGACCAGCTACAGCTTCCAAATTGTTTCTGACACTTTTATAATTGACTTATTTGAATGTAATCGCTTGTTTTTTGCTCCTGTCCTGCCATAAAAAGCAAAACTGACCTTTAGCTGTTTTTTATTGGGCTTTAGTATTTCAGCTTCCCCTGTTAATAGTCTACCTATGCTTCTCAGTTCAGACTCCTCTGATTAGTCCAGGATCTTCCCAAGTGCACTAAATCTTCTTAGACCTGTTTTCTGGTAATAAAAATTTTATAGTTGTGTCATAATGATAAAGAAGTCCGAGTTTAGTAGAGAAAAGCAAATTTCTAATGCAGAGCCTGCAATTTTGACTGGTTTGATATACTGTATCCTGGCCAAGGCAAGGGAAAGTTATGCGGTGATATTGTACAAATCATGTCTGTCTCTGTGAAGATGTACACAATGTAAATCTTCTGCTGTCTTGACTTTTTCTAAAGGAAAAAATATAGCATAGTGAAGTCCAATACTGGGGGTGATTTACTAAAGTGTGAAGTGAACCTGTGTTTGTATCAAACATCCAATCATGTGAAGGAAATTTTTTTTTTCTTTCTCCTGCACATGATTGGGAGTTTGAAGTAAAATAAAATAATGCTTTAGTAAATAAGGCTTATTAAACTGGGTATCCGGCCAAAACATTTTCTCTGTTTTACATAAAGTAGGGGACTGAGACAGGGGATGAGACAAAATCTCTCCAGTGGAGGAATGTACAGCAATAAAACATTTTTTTCTGTAGAGTGGGTAAAGACTGGCAGATTTGAGAGACTTTTGTTGTCTTGGAGCTGATCGAAGAGATTTCCTCTCACTTCATGTACCAATACAGTGGTCACCAGGATAGGAATATCTCCTTATTCAGGACTTGTTTCTTTCTCTAAGTCTTCTCTGTTCAATCCAAAAGTAAAATAAATTACTAAGTATTAAGCTGATCATACGCTTATTTTTAAATTAATTTTCTCAAGAAAATTCATATGAAAATCCTCAGTACATTTGATAACTTGATGATTTCTTTTAACATTCAACTTAGGAGTGAACAGACTTTCCTGAACGAAACCCAAATTCATTAGAAAGTCAGATATATGTTCTTTCAAGAAAAATATTTCCATCCTGCTACTCTAATGCTACTGTTAATTTTCTCATCACTGTGGGTGAAAACTGATGTCAGTTTGACCCCACAATTAGAAAATTGAACAAACATTCTTAATATGAAATTCTACTAGTGTATAGCCAGCATTGCACTTGCACAAAGCTTAGCCTGCAGGCAAAAAAACTGAAAAGGTGCTTGATGCAAGGTCTTCCTTTGGGTGCAGTTTTTTTTTTAACTTCACCCTTTTGTGGTGTGTTTATTTTCATCAGTATTTCACTTGTTTTTGATACTACAATATTATCTGGGTGAATTACATTTTCTTAATGGATAATACCTTTTATTAAATAAGATTACCAACCCTGCTTTCACCTACAAAATTTCACGTTTTATGCCCCATTATTTTCAATGGAGAGAAACTAGAGAATTATTATACCCAAAGTTGTCACAATTTGGGCGTTTTGCCATTTTATTCACTAGGCTGTTTACTTTTTCCATTTTTTCATGGCTGCTTCCAAGTTTACATTTTAAACTTGTTTAAATTGGAAAAAACTCTTATGGCAAAATAGGGTAAAGTTTGATTACTTTGCAATTTTTTTGCCATTCTATAATATTAGGTTGTTTTGCCTCTTTTTTTTCTTGCTTTAGGTTCGGTTTAGTTTTTTGTGTTTGTTTTTTTAATTCTAAACTACAGTAGTTGGAATCCACAATTCCTGGAGACAGGATGTTATGCGAGATAATGCTTTGATTTGTGCTACAGAACATTATTTTTGTCAAACTCTTCATCTGTAAACAAAAAATAGAGACTAGCAAATGGCTTTTTTTCTGTAAATTTATCAGAAAATTTGGTGTTTTCCCCGAAGTTCTCCTGGTCCCCCAAGGTAGGTGCTTGGGATTTCTGCCGTGTAATCCAGTCGGATTGGTTTATCTTCTTAAGCAATTTTTTATTGCTGTGGCATACATTTTGTTGTTCAGCCGTGCTTGTGAACCTTTGTTATATTGGCTAATCTATGGGGTGTTTAGCTCAGTGGTGAAGCCTGTTGTTTGGTTTGTTCTGTGTC